AAATAAATTAAATTAAACATTTTTTGAGCCCCTAAAAGTATTGTGGGCCTTGGGCACTGTGCCTGCTATGCCTACTGGGTAAGTCAGCCCTGTAGAACAGGGGGTTGGGGCCCAATTGAGAAGGCTTTGGATGTCATGCTAATAAGTCAGGTAAGCCATAGGGAGCCATGGTCCCTAACTCTAGCCCTACTCTGGTTGCATTAAACATCTAATCATTTATCAGGCCTTATTTGCCACTTATCCCAAAATCCCTCATACAGTCCATAACATCACCTAACAGCTCTCCAGCCCAATCTTATGATATATGCTCAACCAAGGTGCCCTAAGGTGATTCCTTGTCCCTACCCAAAAACAGCATAGCCTCTCCCAGGGGCAATCATAAGAGTATCAGGAAGTGAGAGATGCAGCACAAGAGAGAAAAGACCACATGACATACCTATAGAGTAGGCCCAGGTTTGGGGGTGAGGAGGGGACTAGGGAAGGGCGGTAGTCAAGAGGGAGAGAGCACTGACATGGGTGGTAGAAAGGCTCAAGAAACCAGCTTCATTGCCTCTCTTTAGCCAAGGTGGGTCTTGCCCTAACCTGATACCTGCCTTCTTCCTTAAAGTCCACCCCTTCTTCCTTAAAGTCCACCCCTTTAACCACTCTCAGAGCTCACCTAAAACCTTAAAAGCTTGCTGCCAGCCCTGTGCCTCTTACCTTAGCATTGAATGGCTGGTCCCCTTTGGGGATTTATTTCCCACTTGAAAAGTAATGGTGCCATTGCCAAGAAGAGCTAAGTGTCCCAGAATTTATTATCTACTTATATATTAATTACAAACTAATTCAGTACAAAAGTCAAATAATACAGAAAATGTGAGTTTAAAAAGTGAAATTTATCCTCACAATGCTCTTATACCTAGTAATTCATTCTCTAGATATAATAACTTTATTGCTTGGTAAAAACCCTTTAAAACTGCTTTTTTGTAAATGTACAAATGCACATATACACAGTACCATATTGTTTGCAACTTGATTTCTTTACTATATGAACGACATTTTTTCATGTCAGTTTAAGTCTAATTCATTCTTTTTTTTTTTTACTTATTTTTCCAAATTATAAGAGAAAGTTTATTAAGATTCCTTGCAAAATTTCCATCAAAGCAGATTTGAAAGAGCCTATGTGATCAATTTGATCAATTACTGTTCTTGTTGTGTATGTGCAAATAATCAGGCCAAACTAAAACTGGACTTAATGCAGTCTCTTTGAAAATGAGGGTAACCCTAGAAAAATTGTGTTTCAATGGGAACCACCATGTCCAATTGTGAATGTTGAACTCCAGTGTAGTTAACTGTCTTCAAAGTTTTGCTTTTCAGATTGTGTCTGTGTGTGCCATACAGTGTTTCTGGAAACTTTGGAGGTGGTTGTGGAGGTAGTTTTGGTGGGAATGACAATGTTGGTTGTGGAGAAAACTTCAGCGATCGAGGTGGCTTTGGTGGCAGCTGTGGTGGTGGTGGATATGGCGGCAGTGGGGGTGGCTCTAATGGATTTGGTAATGATGGAAACAATTTTGGAGGTGGTGAAAGCTACACTGATTTTGGCAATTACAACAATCAATCTTCAAATTCTGAATCTATGAAAGGAAGAAACTTTGGAGGTAGAAGGCCCCTATGATGGTGGAAGCCAATACTTTGCCAAACCATGAAACCAAGATGGCTATGATGGTTCCAGCAGCAGCAGTAGTTATGGCAGGGACAGAAGGTTTTAATTATTGCCAGGAAACAAAGCTTAGCAGAAGAGGAGAGCCAGAAAAGTGACAGGGAAGCTACAGGTTACAACAGATTTGTGAACTCAGCCAAGCACAGTAGTGACAGGGCCTAGCTGCTACAAGGAAGATATGTTTTAAACAATACTCATGTGAATGAGCAAAAATATTGAGGATTCCCTAGCCAGTTTGGCTCAGTGCATAGAGCCTCGGTCCAAGGACCGAAGGGTCCTGGGTTTGATTCAAGTCAAGGACACATACCTTGGTTGCAGGCTCGATCCCAGGGCCTTGTGCAGGAGGCAACCAATTGAAGTGTGTATCTCTCTCATATCGATATTTCTCTCTCCGTCTCTCCCCCCTCCCTTCCACTTTCTCTGAAAATCAATGGAAAAATATCCTCAGGTGAGGATTGACCAAAATATATATATATAAATACACACACACACACACACACACACACACACACACTGAGTGGCCAGATTATTATGACCACCCCATCAGTACTTCGTTGGGCCACCTTTTGCCTTCAATACTGCGGCGATTCTTCTTGGCATTGACTCCACGAGATGTTGAAAGGTGATGCGAGGAATCTGACTCCATGCCTGATGAATAGCACTGTCCAGTTCTGTGAGATTTGATGGTTGTGGAACCAGCTGCCTGATGGCTCTTTTAACTTCATCCCACAAATGCTCAATTGGATTGAGATCTGGTGATTGTGGGGGCCACCTAAGCAAGGTAAAGTCTCCCTCATGTTCTTGAAACATGAGGGAGACTTTACCTTGCACAATACGAGCACCGTGGCATGGCGCATTGTCTTGTTGGAAGAAGCCATCTCCATTGGGATACGCCATCAACATGATAGGATGAACTTGATCAGTAATGATACTTAGATATGTTGTGCCATTCAGGCGTTGTTCCACACGAATTAAAGGGCCCAAATCATGCCAGGAAAACATGCCCCAAACCATAACACTGCTCCCACCAGCTTGAAGGGTTGTACTCATGCAAGTGGGGTGCATGCTTTCGTGCTGTTTCCGCCAAATTCTCACTCTGCCATCTGCATGATGCAACTGGAAACGTGATTCATCGGGCCACATGACTTTTTTCCAACGCTCGACTGTCCAATCCTTGTGTTCCTGTGCGAATTGGAGACGTTTTATCTTGGTAACTGCAGACAGCAAAGGTGTTCGAACAGGCCTTCGGCTGTTTTGCTGATTCTCGCTCCATGGCTCCGAGCGCCAACAATCATCCCACGTTCAAAGGCTGTTAAATCACGTTGTTTACCCATATCTTCAGAAAAAAGTCACTTCTACTGTCGTGGTAAACAACCTGCTTCCCTATTTATAATGGTCTGGCCCTCTAGCAACTTCAGCACGAAATTATAGCTAATTTGCCTACAAACGTCAGGTGGTCATAATAATCTGGCCACTCGGTGTATATATTAGTTCTAAAAAATAAACAAAAACTCAAGGACTGTATTTGTGACTAATTGTATAACAGGTTATTTTAGTTTATGTTCTGTGGAAATTGTAAAGCATTCTAACAAAGGATTTTAATATAGATTTTTTTGCACCCATGCTGTTGATTGCTAAATGTAATAGTTAGATCATGATGCTGAATAAATATCTTTTTATTGATTTCAGAGAGGAAGGGAGAGGGAAAGATATCGAAACATCAATGATGAGAGAGAATCATTGATCAGCTGCCTCCTGGAGATCAAACCCGCAACCCAGGCATGTGCCCTGACCAGGAATCAAACTGAGATCTCCTGGTTTATAGGTTGACCCTCAACCACTGAGCCACACTGGCCAGGCAAATGTGTCTTTTAAAAATAATAACAATAAAATGCCCAAGGTTAAAGACAAAGAGAATCTTGAAAACAGCAAGAAAATAACAGTTAGTTACCTACAAGGGAGCTCCCATGAGATTGACAGCTGATTTCTCAACAGAAATTTTGTAGGCCAGAAGGGATTGGCACAAAATATTGGCACAAAAAGTGATGAAAAGCAACCAAGATTACTCTATCCAGCAAAGCTATCATTCAGAAAAAAATGATAGATAAAGAGCTTCCCAGAAAAGAAAACGCTGAAGAAGTATTACAAGAAATGTTAAAAGGTCTTCTTTATAAAGAAGAAGAGATTGGTGTGGTAGGCCTCCTGATCTGGCCACACCTGCACACCAGCACTGCCCAGGGTCCTTCTGTTGATATAATTGGCCAGGGGAGAGTGGTCCTCCTTTCTTCTCTGGTTGCTTGAAGATCAACTTCTATCATAAATAACACAGTAACTATCTGAACCAGGAAGTTCATGACCAACAGACTACTTCAGCAGAAACAAATCATCATTGATGTCCTTCACCCAGGGAAGGCAACAGTACCCAAGACAGAAATTCGGGAAAAACTAGCCAAAATGTATAAGACCACACCAGATGTCATCTTTGTGTTTGGATTCAGAACCCATTTTGGTGATGGCAAGACAACTGACTTTGGCATGATTTATGAGTCCCTGGATTATGCAAAGAAAAATGAACCCAAACATGGACTTGCAAGACATGGCCTATATGAGAAGAAGACGACCTCAAGAAAGCAAAGGATGCCGAAACCGGTTTGGCTCAGTGGATAGAGCGTCAGCCTGCGGACTGAAAGGTCCCAGGTTCGATTCCGGCCAAGGGCATGTACCTGGGTTGCGGGCACATCCCCAGTAGGAGATGTGCAGGAGGCAGCTGATCGATGTTTCTCTCTCATCGATGTTTCTAACTCTCTATCTCTCTCCCTTCCTCTCTGTAAAAAATCAATAAAATATATTTAAAAAAAAAAAAAAAGAAAGCAAAGGAACACAAGAATAGAATGAAGAAAATCAGGGGGACTGCGAAGGCCAATGTTGGTGCATAAGATTTGTCAACAATGTGTCACTCCCTCTGGACATTTCCAGGGTCGTCTTCCTGTCAGTGTGATGCAGAAGAACACACATTGAGAATTTAGACTCAGCATTTATGATGCCTCTGCTCTTTCTCTCTGCCCTCAAGCAATCAGCATCATTAAAAAGAAGAGAGCCCAGCTGGCATGGCTCAGTGGTTGAGCATTGACCTATGATCCAGGAGGTCACAGTTCGATTCCCAGTCAGAGCACATACCTGGGTTGTGGGCTTGATCCCCAGTGTGGGACGTGCAGGAGACAGCTGATGAATGATTCTTTCTCATCATTGATGTTTCTATCTCTCTCTCCCTCTCCCTTCCTCTCTGAAATCAATAATAAAAATATATTTTTAAAAAAGGAAGAGAAATGCCCCCCCCCCAAAATTTTTTAAATAAATAAATAAAAAGTGCGGCCAAAGTCACCATCTATGCCTACCACTAGGAGATGATGCGGGGCATGTAGATTTGACACTAGTTGTGAGAGTCTTAAATGTAGTCCTAAAGAATTTAATTTTTCTTTTCTTTTTTTTTATAATCCTCACCTGAGGATATGTTTTTACTGATTTGAGAGAGAGAGAAAGAGAGAAACATCTATCCGTTGCCTCCTCTATGCACCCCAACCCACAACTCAGATATGTGCCCTGACCCACAATCTTTTTGGTGTATGGGACAACACTACAACCAACTGAGCCATCTGGTCAGGACCTAAAGATTTTGGTTTTTAAGCAAATACAGATTGGGCTTCTCTGAGCTAGGCCACGGATACAGAAATGGATGTGATATTGGCCCTGCCCTTAAAGGTACACTTTAGAACAGCGGTTCTCAACCTGTGGGTTGCGACCCCTTTGGCGGTCGAACGACCCTTTCACAGGGGTCGCCTAAGACCATCCTGCATATCAGATATTTACATTACGATTCATAACAGTAGCAACATTACAGTTATGAAGTAGCAACGAAAATAATTTTATGGTTGGGTCACAACATGAGGAACTGTATTTAAAGGGCCAGAAGGTTGAGAACCACTGCTTTAGAGTATGTGATGTTAAGGGGTAACTTTTAGGAGGCCCTAAAGCCTCCTCTTAAACTCCTCATCCGAAGGCTAGAGCTGTCTCCTTACTCTCCAAAGGAGGTAGGAGGTGGGAGGAAAATGACAAAAGAGACCCTGGTCCCCAGCCCAGCTCAGCCCTCCTCCCCAAGCTCTACTCTGTGTTAGAATGCTGGGGGTTAGGCTGGAAACGGAGCTCTCCAGGTTACCTGAGCATCATATTTTACATTCCCCTGACTAGCTCAAGGACCTAAAAAGGTGACTGTTTGTATAGAACTCCTTCTAACAGCTTTTCCAGGCCTCTCCTGTATCTGCAGACATGAAAAGTTGAATTCTGCAGTTCTAGGGACCTGGTGACTTTGCTGCTTCCCTCTAGACTTCCAAGCTTCCCGGCTCCCCTCTGCCTAAAAAACCACAACACCCATAGTCCTCTGCTCTAGGGCCTCCCTCTGCCTACCTCAAGGCATACTGCATCTCCCTCTTTCCTCTTCTACTGACTGATGGGCAGAGCCTTTCACCTCCCGCAGGACATGCCCACTCCTCCACTCGGCTCCCCCTGGCCTCTACCCTTATAACCCTCAAATTATCCCAAGGGCTCCCTCTTCTAACTCCCCCACATTGTCCTCTGGGAGCTCTCTTTTCAGCTCTCTGAGTCTCCCCAAACCTGTTTCCTAGCACCCTCTTCCACAGAGTTCTCTCATGCACCTACTTTGCTTTTGCCTCCCGGCATTTACACCAATGTCTGCAGGTATACAGACATATGCACACGTCCCATCTCCCTCTGTGCACTCGGAGATGTTGCTGACCCTTCCTTCCTCTTGCTAGTCACTCTTCCCTCCTCCAATCCTCTTTTGCCCCCACCTCCTAGTGCACGGGATAGGTCTCTGTGCTGGCAGTGCCACTGAGGACAGTGAGGCAGTGACACGCTACTAGGGGAGCACCCCGAAGGGAAAACCAGTCCAGGTTCTCCATCTTACTTCTGGAAAAGACTTTGTTGGATGCTTTTCAACTAAAAGTAGATAATTAATTTAGCCCTGGCCTTGTTCTGTCTTTGAATAACAGATAAATTAGTTTACTTGAAAAGAAATCTTTTCATTTGTATTTCCATGTCACCTGTGATTTTCCCTGCCTTCCACCCGCAGCCCTGCCAACTGGCAGGAAGGTTAGCAAAGCTGCTGATAAGAGGAGTATAAAAAGGCTTGGGTCATGGTAAGGGGCCACTTGTGGTCTACTCCACTGGCAACATGCTGAGCTTCCTCGTCTTTGCCACCCTGGTCCTTTATGGTGAGTGGGTCATGTGGCCTGAGTTCTAAGAGGGGATTTGAGCAGGAGGGTCAGAAAGCTATCCCTAAGCCCAGATCTGCTCTCTACTCCAGAGCGGGTAGGACACTCAGCCTGTAAGTCTAGCAAAAATTTTACTCTCCTGGAGCCCATGAGAGAAAAGTGTGGGGCCACTCTTGTGCAGGCCCCTCATGAAGCAGAGAAGCCTCTACCAGGGGCCTGGGCTTCCCTACCACCCCCACTGACAAGAAGACATCCTCAGCAGGTGCCTGGCTGGGTGAGCACTGCTGTCCATGCCCCCTGGAGAATCCTGCCCAAGCACTGTGTGTGTGTGTGTGCGCGCGTGTGCGCGTGCGTGTGTGTGTGTGTGTGTGTGTGTGTGTGTGTGTGTGTGTCGGGGGGGGGGCGGGGGGGCAGTAGTCAGGAAGGAGGGGGTTCCCGGCAGGCCAAGGGATGGCCTGAGGAAGGTTGAGAAAAGTTGCCTCTGAGGCCCAGCCTGGTGATTTGAGGTAGGTCCTTCACAGCATGCCAGGGTTCTGAGGACACCCTGGGAAAGCAGAAGGCACTCAGACTCCCCTGCTTTAGAAAGGGGCTCAGGGAACTCACAGTGGGGGGCGGGGAGGGGGGCTCATTGCTAGGGAGGAACTGTGAATTTGCAGACAAAGCACAACTGCTATTCCCCATCCCCACCCCGGGCTGACCCCATGCTTAGTCATCACTCACTTTTCTTCTGCCCCACAAAGGACACAGCACCCAGGATTTTCCGGAAACCAACGCCCGGGTAGTTGGAGGGGTTGAGGCCCGGAAGAATTCCTGGCCCTCTCAGGTGGGTGTTTCTTCACAGCCCCAGACTTCCAATAAAATAAGAGTTGCCTGGGCACTGATACACAGTATTACAGGTGTTTGTGTATGTCCTTATCAACAGGAAGCTCTCCAACTGCCTGTATTCTAGATTTTAAAGATGAATGGGACCAGGCTTAGGTGGTTTTACTAAGTACAAAAGCTTGAAGGAGCGAATTTAAATACCAACCACACTCTCTCTCCCAGGCACACACCTAAACACGAATCACATTTACACTCCCAGCAACACCATTTGTGCCACATTAACAAGACTGTGTGCCAGACCCACACTTCAGACTCCATATACCTTGACACACACACACACACACACACACACACACACACACACACACACATATACCTTCACACAGTATGTGTCACACTTTCAAGTGCACTCCCGCCCCCAAGTAGAGTATGTTGTTTATTTGGCTATTTAAAGAGTTTCCACTTTGCCCTAGCCGGTTTGGCTCGGTGGATAGAGCGTCAGCCTGCGGACCGAAGGGTCCCAGGTTCGATTCCGGTCAAGGGCACTATGCCTGGGTTGTGGGCTTGGTCCAACCTGCAGGAGGCAGCCAATCAATGATTCCCTCTCATCATTGATGTTTCTATCTCTCTCTTCCTCTCCCTTCCTCTCTGAAATCAATAAAAATATTTAAAAAAAGAGTTTCCACTTTCATAACAGGACAAGTAGGCTCTGATTTAAGCAATTCAAATGTAAAAATTGGCAAGTTGAGAAGAATCATTACAATTAGAATTAAATCAATTTACAAAAGTTTGAGCCCCGTCTGGCTGGTTTGGCTCAGTGGATAGAGCATTGGACTGCGGATTGGAAGGTCCTGGGTTCGATTCCGGTCAAGGGCATATGCCCAGGTTTCGGGCTTGATCCTCAGTAGGGACCTGCAGGAGGCAGCCCATCAATAATACTCTCTCATCATTGATGTTTCTATCTCTCTCTCCCTCTCCCTTCCTCTCTGAAATCAATAAAAGAATATATATATTTTTTAAAAAGTTTGAGCCCCAATTTTCAGAAGTTATTGTGTTATATGAGGTGCTGAAGAAGACATGAACTGACAAAAATGGACATTCCAATGGTATTCCTAAATATTCCCTGAAGTAGGGGGACAGGGTATATCTTGAAAACATTGGAGGGGAGGCTCTGAGACCTAAGCTTGTGGGTCTTAGGTGGTGGAGCAAATCCATAGCTACATTTCCTTCCCAAGAGGAAATGGAGGTAGAAGGAAATGAGTTCTTGGCCCTTTGCAACAACCTAGAGCTGGGGAGGGGGGCAAATACACTCTGTGTGTATGCCTTTACCTCCCCACACCCATCCATGTACACAGCAAACACTGCCAAACAACGGTGCACTCTTTCCTGCTGATCCCAGATCATCTACACACCCTTTTTCGCTACCACACCAGGTAGACACTAGCAATCAATCAATAGCAATTGACAGATCAAATGAAATCTATTTGCCATCTCTAGCCCAGAAAGTTGGAGAATGTTTTGAGGGATGGCAGGAATTTCAGGGGTAACGTGATTTGGGGCAAAGGCTTTTAAGAAACACCACTTATTCTTCCTTTCTTTCCTCCCTGTCTAGATTTCCCTCCAGTACTGGTCCAGAGGTAACTGGTATCACACCTGTGGAGGGACCCTCGTCAGACGGAACTGGGTGATGACAGCTGCTCACTGTGTGGACAAGTGAGAAAAACAAAGACCAGCTTTACTGAGCCCCTGGAGGGGAAGAGTTTGGCCCTTCTGGAGAAATATGTATCTTTGACCACCAGGGCAGGACTTTAAGGGTCTGTTTGGAGGCCTGTGGGAAGGCAGTACCATATAATGAAAAGTACAAATTTTGGCATTAGGCAAGCTCAGGTTCAAATCTCATTCCACCTTCTTCCAGCTATATGACCTTAGATGACTTACTCCTCTTAAGTCCTCTTTCTCTTCTCTCTAAAGTGAGGTAATAAAACCTACTTTGTAGAGTTATTGTGAGGGTTAAGAAGGTAAATATTTGAGTGCCTAGTCAATGCCTGGCTGGTAACAATATTTTTAAATTGATCTTTATTGTTGAAAATATTACAGATGTACCTTTTTTAATTAAGGTATTACATATGTGCCCTTATCACCCCCATTGCCACCCCCCAGATGTCCCTTTTTAAAAAATTTATCTTTATTGCTGGCTGGTAACAATTTTTTCTTATGGCACAATGGTTGGTTCTCAGTTGAGCATGTATCAGAATCACCTGGCAGGCACAGATTGCTGGACTCCATCTAGCATTTTCTGATTTGGTAGGTCCAGGGTGAGGCCTGATAGTCTGCATTTGTAGCAAATTTCCAGGTTATGCGGATGCTGCTGTTCCAGGAACCATGCTTTAAGAATTATTAGTCTAGAAGTTTATACTTTCCTCCAAATTCCTCTGGGAGCTAAAAAGCTATTATTTCATTTATGTTCCCCATATGATGTTTAGTTTAAGAAACTGGGAAAATGAAGTTGATGGTAGTTTTTGTCCTCCCACGTTAATTAATTAGGAAATGAGGGAGCTTGTTTCTCATCGTCCAGGATTTTTCATCCTTCCTCTGCTGGACCAGATAAGATGAGTTCCTGTCCTAAAGATAAGATATAAGCTGGTTTCCCAACTTTTCCCTAAGGGGGAAAGAGAAGGCTTGGGCATCCTGGATCACTCATGGCTTCCTTCTGTCGCTCCAGCCAAATGACGTTCCGTGTGGTGGTTGGAGACCACAACCTGAGTCAGAATGATGGTACTGAGCAGTACGTGAATGTGCAGAAGATCGTGGTGCATCCATACTGGAACAGCAATAACGTGGCTGCCGGGTAAGGGCAAGGCTGGGCTGGCCTTGGGCTGGGAAGTGGAGGGCTGACTAACTAGCAACAGGGTTTTGGCTTCCTTCATCCATGAGGACTTTGAGAATTTATATTTTGGAGAATTTGAGAATTTTAAAAAATTTCTGGTATTTATTTGATCTAAGCTGGTTTGCAGGATTGGATCACCTAAAGCTCCTTCTCTGCAGAGTTAAATGTTTCTGTTTTTATTGTTATTTATTATTTACTAGAGCAGTGGTTCTCAACCTTCCTAATGCCGCGACCCTTTAATACAGTTCCTCATGTTGTGGTGACCCCCAACCATTATTTTCGTTGCTACTTCATAACTGTAATTTTGCTACTGTTATGAATCGTAATGTAAATATCTGATATGCAGGATGTATTTTCATTGTTACAAATTGAACATAATTAAAGCATAGTGATTAATCACAAAAACAATATGTAATTATATATGTGTTTTCTGATGGTCTTAGGTGACCCCTGTGAAAGGGTCGTTCGACCCCTAAAGGGGTCGCGACCCACAGGTTGAGAACCGCTGTACTAGAGGCTCGGTGCACGAATTCGTGCATGGGTGGGGTCCCTCTGGGTGGCCTGCAAGGATCGGGCTGAAACCCGCAGTCCAACCTGCAGCTCCTACTTGCCGCTCCCACTCATCCCAGCCCCACTGTGCCTGCCACGGGCTCGAGCCCAATCAGTCCCAACAGGAGAGGCTCGCACTGCCACAGCAGCACTCACCAGCCATGAGCCCTGCATCTGGCGCCTTCCCAAGGGGAGTGGCCTGTGGGATCAGGCTGAAACCAGCTCTCTGACATTCCCCGAGGGGTCCTGAATTGCTAGAGGGCACAGGCCAGGCTGAGGGACCCCACTGGTGCACGACTGGGCCCGGGAGGGACTGCAGGAGGGCTACAGGGCGTGTCCAGCCCATCTTGCTCAGTCCCAATCAGCCAGAACCCAGTAGCAAGCTAACCTACAGGTCGGAGCATCTGCCCCCTGGTGGTCAGTGCACGTCATAGCGAGCGGTTGAGCAGTCTTAGCATATCATTAGCATATTACACTTGGATTGGTTGTTCAGTTCTGCCATTTGGTCTATTTGCATATTACCCTTTTATTATATAGGATTTTATAGAATAGATTTCATCAACAAAAGTAATTTTCTTAAAATGAATCTTACATGTGAAAACTCCACCAAGACTGAGCTGTACATTTTTGGAAAAGAAGTCATCAAAATGGTGGTCAATTCTATAGAATATGGGGGTTGGGATCAGTTCAAGTAATTGGGATATTTCTGCAGAGCTTTCAGAACCACACAGATTTTTACATCTTTCTTCCTTGAAAACTTCTCTGCTACCATCATCGCAACACTCTGCTCCTTTCTGATTCCCCACTTATAACTGAAAGATATAAGCTCCAGCTTGGCCGGTGTGGCTCCGTGGTTGCATGTCAACCTAAGAACTAGGAGGTCCTGGTTCTATTCCCAGTCATGAGACATTCCCAGGTTGCAGGCTGGATCCCAGTAGGGGATGTGCAGGAGGCAGCCAATCAATGATTCTCTGTCATCATTGATGTTTCTATCTCTCTCTCCCTCTCCCTGACTCTCTGAAATAAAATATACATTAAATATATATATATATATACACACACACTTAAGATGTAAGCTCCACTCCTCAGGGTTGCAGGTATCAGAGCTAGATTACAACACCAAGACTTCACCAGCAGGTGCTGCTGTTAAATATATAATGTCCTAAACAATCCAAATGTATAATGCCTCAAGTTTGAGATTTAGCAAGTCAGCACCCTCCTTCTTCAAAATCATTGGTTTCCAATTCTATGGGGACACAAGGCTAGGGGAGGGCCTGCCCATATGCCCATCTGAGGCCTGAGACCTGAGACCTGAGACCTGTTCAGCCAAAGGGCAGCTGAGACCTGTTCAGCCAGGGCAGCTGGCCCACGAGTGAGCAGACTCTTTTCCTCCCTCCCGTAGCTATGACATCGCCCTGCTGCGCCTGGCCCAGAGCGTTACCCTCAACAACTACGTCCAGCTGGGTGTTCTGCCACGGGAGGGAACCATCCTGGCTAACAACAGTCCCTGCTACATCACAGGCTGGGGCAGGACCAGAAGTAAGTCACCTACATGGGCACCGTCTACCACATGAATCTTGATTAGCTGAGCTTCTAGGGTACAATTTTCTGTGGTCCTAGGTATTCATAGCCAGAAGCCAAGAAACCACAAAGGAACCAGAGATAAAATAACTGAGACATGAAATCAAGCTAAGAACAGGCAATGGAATCAAGGCAGAGATTCATAGACTCTTATAACTCAAAAAACAACCGAACAGCAACAACAAAAAGCCACACTACTTAACTAAATATTATAAACAAGCCTCTCATTTTATTTTATACATGAGGAAACTGAGGACAAAGGAAATTAAACACTTTGTACAAGATCACATTACTAGTTAGTAACTACTGATTTGGGGCTGGAACCCAGGTATCCTGGCTCCCAATTTGGTAGTCATTACATCATTGTGCTACCTCCATAGACAGTCACTGGGTTTTGGGTTGGAGTGAATGAACCAGGGCAGCTGTAGGTCCAGAAAAGTCAATGCAGATGAGGCCTCTGCCTTCTTCTGGTCATCATGGAAAGATTTCTGATAGGGAATGTCATTCAGATAACATAGAAAGGAGGGAGAAGCTATGAGCAGAGATAGTAAGAGGGGCAGAGATGTTAGGCCTGCCATGGAAGTCTATCAGTCACCAGGCAGTATTTGAGCTCTGAAAGAGAGGCAAGGCCTTGCTATGAGCAGCCAGTCTCCTGGGAAAATCTGAAGCTGAGAGACATACTTCTAATCTAGCTCTGCTCTCAGTTCACTTAATGTCATTATGGTTCAATTTCATGATCTTTAACATGAAAGGGTTGTAAGGATCCAAAGAAATAATTCATGTGCAAAGGCTTTGAAAAATCAAAGAGCCAGATAAAGAAAGGTTGCACCAAGCTCTTAAGAAATGCAAACAAGGATGCACAGTCCCATTTCTGCTTCATAGGGTATACAATGTAAGGAAAAAACAGGACAGGTCAATAAGTTATCAACAAATGATTTTGTTACTTCGCTAAGGTATCCATGAGTTGTTGTGTTATGTGTGTGTGTTTTTTTAAAAAAAGGCAGGAGTAGGATTGGTTGTGGGTTGTTTTTTTTTAATCTGCATTATTTGTGTTTTTTAAATATATTTTTTATTGATTTCAGAGAGGAAGTGAGAGGGAGAGATAAATAGAAACATCAACGATGAGAGAGAATCATTGATTGGCTGCCTCCCATATGCCCCCCACCAGGGATCAAGCCCGGGCATCGAACCCCAGGACCCTTCAGTCCGCAGGCCAACGTTCTATCCACTGAGCCAAACTGGCTAGGGCTAGGATTGGTTTTTTAGAACCTGGGAACAGTAATCAAGGATGACTCCCTAAAGGAAAGAGCCTGTTGTTTCCATACAAAGAGATAAAAAGGAGGATCTATGACATGCAGTGGGCAGGAAGAAGGAGCTTGCCTGGAGTTCAGCTTTCATCAGAGCTTGGGAAGGTTTGGGAGAATGTGGAAGGTTTTTCCCTTGGATAGTATCTGGGGCTGATCTCCAATGCTGTGTGTCCTGTTTAGCCAATGGACAGCTGGCCCAGACCCTGCAGCAGGCTTACCTGCCCACTGTGGACTATGCCACCTGCTCCAGCTCCTCCTACTGGGGCTCCACTGTGAAGAACACCATGGTGTGCGCTGGAGGAGATGGAGCTCGCTCTGGATGCCAGGTGAACACTTGTAGAAAGTGTCTAAAGTCCCACCCCAGATCTCTCCCCTCTCTGCCTACCACTTCCCACCTTTTCCTTACCTGCTATTCCACATTTACACCCCATGTACAGATACAACTTTCTACTCTGGTTTCTGAATGAGAATGATTCTTTGCTAATAACTTTATGCTCACAGGATCTCAAAGTTGAAAAAAATCTTAAAAATGCATCTTGCCTAGAGCCCCCACCTCAAAAGCTTATATGTGGTCTAATATTTGTGTTGGTATATGTTCTTTAGAATTTGTTCATGACCTAGACTTTTTATGGATGCAGTGGGGCTAAGCCTGGAGTGATGGTTGTAATTTTGTATAAGGTAGCTCCCCTTAAAGGAGCTACAAAAATGATCAATCTATTGATCAATGATCAATAGCTCCTCTATTTCCACTCTTTTACTTCACTAGTACTTACAGCCATACATATGGGTGGATATAGTAGGGGAAAGTGCACAAATGGTTTTATAACAGTATAAGTAAAACAGAATTTTCTCTTTAGACACAATGAATCAGCAATACACCATCTTACAGATTTCTTAATGCAATTCAACAAATGGTCTTGATTAGCTACTAAATAAAATACCAGATACTGTGCATTTATGCTAGGGATACAAAGATAAACACAGTGGAGAAATGAGAAGAGCAGACATATGAGAGAACATCCTATATAATAAAAGGCTAATATGCAAATCGACCAAACAGCAGAGCAACTAGTCACTATGATGTGCACTGACCACCAGGGGCAGACACTCAATGCAGGAGCTGCCCCCTGGTGGTCAGTGCGCTCCCACAGGGGGAGCGCCACTCAGCCAGAAGCCCTGAGCTGGGCTGGCGAGCACAGCGCCAGTGGTGGGAGCCTCTCCCACCTCTGTAGCAGCGCTAAGGATATCCGACTGCTGGCTTAGGCCCGCTCCCCACTGTCGAACTGCCAGACTGCGAGAGGGTGCAGGCCGGGCTGAGGGGGTCCCCCATCCCCCAAGTGCATGATTTTCATGCACCAGGCCTCTAGTTGTAATATAATATGGTTAAGTGTTTACAATAAAGATATGCACCAGGTGGTAGGGAAGTCCAAAAAATAGGTACTTACCTCTATCTGGTGGGGTCTGAAAAGACTTGCCTTCTCTGAGAAAGTGGAATCTGCAGTGAGTCCTGAAAGTTAAACAGGAGAAGGAGGGAAAGACATTCAGGGAGAGGTACAGCATGAAGAAAGGCATGGACCAAGAACCTAGGTAGGACACATACAGAATTATAGGGTGTTCCCTACAGCTATCTAGAGCAGAGGTCGAAGCCCACAAGCCTCCAAATCCAGTCTGATGCCTGTTTTTGTTTGGCCCTTGAGCTAAGAATGGTTTTTACATTTTTAAATGGTTGGGGGGGGGAAATAACAGAATAATATGTCATGACACGTGAAAAATATAAAATTTCAATGTTCATAAAAATATTTAATTGGAAAACAGTATAGTTGTTTCTTGTGTATTGTTTATGGCTGCTTTTACAGAATTGAGTAGTTGTGGCAGAGCCTGCAAAGCCTAAGATATTTACTATTGGCCGTTAACAGAAAAAAGTTTGCTGACTCCTTGAGCTAGAGCATAAACTATTACCATACTAGGGAATGTCAGGAGATGACACTAGGGGCAAGTAGGAGCCACATGACATAGGGCTTTAAATGTCATGCTTGGGGGACATGAACTTTATCACTTAGGTACTTGGAAATTATTGAAGAGTTTCAAACAGGAGAACCGCATGATCTGATTTGTCTTTTAGAAGCACTGTCTGATGACAAATAATCATGTTTTTGAAGAGGACAAGATTGGCAGGGAGATTGGTTAGGAGACTATTGTAATTGTCCAGGCAAGAAATTTGAGGGTCTGAATTAGGGCAGTGGAGAAGAGGGAAGAAGGAGGATATGGGATGCATTACAGGCATTTGGCTTAAGTTATTTGGGAGAGAGGTTTGCTCCCTCAAATGAGACAAGATTTATAGGATTTGAGAGGAAAGGTGGTGAGTTTAGTTCTGGATACGTTGAGTCTGAGATCCCTGTGGGATATTCAGGTATAGTTAACTGGTAAGAAATTAGATATAAAGAAAGCGGAACCTGGGTGAGAGAGCTGGGCTAGAGATACCCCTAACAGCAACTGAGACACTCCCACCCCACCTCTCAGCCCCAAGGAAACCACTAGAAAAAGAGCAGTGACTTAGCAGAACTGCAATAACATAAATACTTGAGTGCTTCAGGGAGATATGTGAAAGACAAAGAACCCATAAAGATCTAAGAGGGACTAGTGGCAAGAGAAAAATAAGAGTTTTATTAAATCTCAAAAAATACGGATAGGTCATCACATAATAAACAGTGCAGCCAGAGCCACAGTAGATAACTGAATGTGACTACTTGGCAGTGGGTGAGTCACTGGCAACTATGGCAAGAACAGTTCCAGTGGAGTGGTATGGCAGAAGCTAAAGGGTAAGGAAGAAGAGGCAATAAAAACATAGCGAGGGCCCAGCCAGTGGTTGACCAGACGGTCATAGTTCAATTCCCAGTCAGGGCACATGCCCAGGTTGTGGGCCTGATCCCCAGTAGGAGGGCGTGCAAGAGGCAGCCAATTGATGATTCTCTCTCATCATTGATGTTTCTATCTCTCTCTCCCTTTCTCTCTCTGAAATCAATAAAAACATATAAAAATATTTTTTAAAAATACATAGCAAGGAAATATAGAACACTCTTTCAATAATCTTGGGTGAAAGAGAGGAACAAAAAAAGTCTGGTAGCTTTAAGAGGATGAGAAGTCAAGACCGATATGGACCGTTTAAAAGTAAAGAAAATTAAGTGTGTTAAAAAAGACAGAAAGAGAAGGACCCTATAGAGCAGTGTTTCTCAACCCTTGGATGCACCTTAGGAACCTCTTGGGAAACTTTTTTAAAAAGCGGGGTTTCCTGGGCCAAAATCCTCCGAAAATTCTTTTTTCTTTTGTATGAGCGGGGGTCCCCAAAAATAGAA